AAACTAGGCCATACTGAGAATGTCCTGCCGTTCAGGGCCACAGGCGGGGAGCCAAGGTCTGTGGGAGGAGAGTTGTGAGTAAAGAGGAGGGAAAGTTGAATTTGGCCCTTTCAGGCACAAACGTCCCCTTGTTCTGCCTCAGCAGGAGCCAGTAGAATATTTCCCTGCTGTGCAGGCCCAACCAGCTTCAAGGTCAAAAGCTGCTAGGCCTTCTAAAATTCTGAGGACCCAGGCAGCCCAGCACCCCAAGGCTTGGCCGTGAGGGGGTGCGCTGGAGGACCTGAGTTCTGAGGCCAGCCTTTGCAGCTGATTTGCTTACAGCTGCATCCACTAGCTGCCGGCCTGGCACGGCACACAGTAGGTGTGCAAAAAGTGCGCGTGAGTTTACTTGAAATGAAATCCCAGCAGCACCCCTTCCTGGCTCTGTGACCTCGGGGAAGTGACTTTAATCTCTCAGAGCCTCAGTTTCTTCATGTGGAAAGTGGAGCCAGTAACACTAGTCCCTACCTTAATAAGAATATTGGGAGACTTACAGGAAATGAAGCATGGGAAGCGTTTAGCGCTGAGGCCGGCACACAGTAGGTGCTCCGCGAATGTCAGTAAGTCACTTCTTTTGTACTAGACACTGGGTTAAACGTTTTTTGTTGTTTTTTTAAAAATATACTTTATTGATTTTTTACAGAGAGGAAGGGAGAGGCATAGAGAGTCAGAAACATGGATGAGAGAGAAACATCAATGAGTCGCCTCCTGCACACCCCCTTCTGGGGATGTGCCCGCAACCAAGGTACATGCCCTTGACCAGAATCGAACCCGGGACCTTTCAGTCTGCAGGCCAACGCTCTATCCACTGAGCCAAACCGGTTAGGGCAGGGTTAAACGTTTTACATGTGCCATCTTGGTAATCTTCCATCAACTCTTCGAGGCATGAGTTCATATCCCCATTTTCCAGAAGAAGAAATTGAGGCTTGGGAAGCGTCTTGCCCAAGGTCCATGGCCAGTAGGCAGCAGAACTGAGATTTGAGATTTGAAGCCAGAGCCCATAGTTATAACCATTTGACTCCCCAGCTTAGAGCTAGCTAGGAACTCTGCCTACGCCCTTCTAAATATGTTTTTATTGATTTCAGAGAGAGGAAGGGAGAGGGAGAGACGGATAGAAACATCAATGATGAAAATCATTGATCGGCTGCCTCCTGCATGCCCCACACTGGGGATCGAGCCCGCAACCTGGGCATGTGCCCAGACTGGGTATCAAATCTTGCCCTCCTGTTTCATGGGTTGATGCTCAACCACTGAGCCACACCCACCGGGGTTAGGCCCTTTTAATGTTCCCAGATGGATACAGTGCATTCGGGGAGGCTTCCCATAGGAAGTGGTATCACTTACCCGCTGTGTGACCTTGGGCTTTGCCTCTCCATGTCTGTTTCTCCCTTTGTCAGGGTCATGGTGAGGATTGAGTGTTACAAGGGTTTGGCAGTATCCACCACTCTCTAAGCCAGCGGTTCTCAACCTGTGGGTCGCGACCCCTTTGGCGGTCCAACGACCCTTTCACAGGGGTCGCCTAAGACCATCCTGCATATCAGATATTTACATGACGATTCATAACAGTAGCAACATTACAGTTATGAAGTAGCAATGAAAATAATTTTATGGTTGGGTCACAACATGAGGAACTGTATTTAAAGGGCCAGAAGGTTGAGAACCACTGCTCTAAGCCTTCCGTGGGGGGTGGTGATGGTGGTGATGGTGGTGATGGTGATGGTGATGGAGATGGTCCTGCAGGCTGGCACAATGCGCGTGGTGGTGATCGGAGCGGGCGTCATTGGGCTGTCCACCGCCCTCTGCATCCACGAGCGCTACCACTCGGTCCTGCAGTCGCTGGACTTGAAGATCTACGCAGACTGCTTCACCCCGCTCACCAACACCGACGTGGCTGCTGGCCTGTGGCAGCCCTACCTCTCCGACCCCGGCAGCCAGCAGGAGGCGTGAGTGAGGGTCCCAGAGGGTGGCCGGGCGGTCAGAGGAGCTGAGTCTCCGGAGGGGGCTGCCCCCTCTCAGGGTCCCTGTCACCAATGACAAGCCCATTGTGGAGGCTATGGCCTGGCATGATGTGAAGAAAATAATAAATATGAAGCCCCTTCTAGGTGCTAGTGACAGATGCTACACTTGGTCTCAGCAGTGATAGAGGTGACATGTGCCGGACCGATGGAGGCTTTGTCTCCATCCCTCCCCTAAACCAGGAGGTTGTCGATGCCAGATGAATTGGTAAATCAGGAATACTTCTGAGTCGATCAATGCTCAGGTTTAGCAAAGAAGTTGCAAAGGTCATGATGTGAGTTTTGAAACCCCCAGCTGATTCCACAAAGGACACCTCAGATGAATAACAGCTCAAACAGATGTTTTATTCCACCCACAAATTCCAAACCAATGTTCCTGATCAGTGGGTGACAGTTCAGGGATCGGGCTTCTTTCCAGCTCATGGCTCTGTCATTCTCCTCCGTGGCTTCCAACGTTGCCCTACACATGAGCCAGCAACCTGCACAAGGAGCATAGCATGAGGACTACGTGTGCACAGTTTCTGGGGTCTTTTGGCTAGAAGGCAGTCACATGGTCATGCCTAGCTGCAAAGGAGTCTGGGAAATGTAGTTGAGCTGTGAGCCCAGGGAGAAGAGGAAGCCTTTGGGAGTGCCAGCTGGTGTTTACAGTGGGGTGGAGCCGAGAGAGAGCTTGAACCCTGTGGCTCACAGTCTCCGGAGCAGGTCACAGCCTTCATTTAAACTTGGCAACTACGTGATCCTAAGTTGGAGGTAGGTTCCGAATGGTTGTGAGGGAGCATGCTCGGTTTCCCTCTTCTCTTTTCTATTGATGGGGACATATTGGAAAGCTTGGGGAAGAGGGGCTGCAGGAGTGGACCATGATGGATTTCTGGATTTGGACACCTCCCCACCAGCCTGACCACAGCCCTGGGCAAGCTGACCCTCAGAGCGGTCTTATCCAGCTCAGGGCATGACGTGATGAGACTCTGGTGGACCCTTCCAGGCATTGGAACCGGCAGACCTTCGACTACCTCCTGAGCCACGTCCATTCCCCCAACGCTGCAAACATGGGCCTGGCCCCGATCTCGGGCTACAACCTCTTCCATGAAGCTGTTCCGGTGAGTGAGGAGCCCTTGACCATGGGGCAGAGCCTTGATCACAGACCAGAGTCACGTTCTGTAGTGGTGGGCACTTGGTGCTGAGGCCAAAATACGTCCTGTGACCCTGCAGGTGGTCCCCAGGCTTTTCATCAAGATGGACTAAGACACTCATCATGGTGCACACTTCTAAAGCCCCTACTGTGTGCCAGGCCCTGTCCTAACTACTTTACAAATAGTGCCTCAATTAACTCTCACAATAATTGAGTGTTATTAGTATCTTCCTTTTGCAGATGAAATGGCGTACCTTACTTGAGCTCACAAAGCTTTAAAGTGGCAGAGCTGGGATTTGAACCCAGACAGTCTGTGACCGCATGGGGGATGTTCTCAGGTTGCTTGGAGAGGGTGATTTGGCTGGGTGCCCACAACCCCAAGCCAACTCTCCAAGGTTTAGTCAACATTTAACCCTGTGCTAAGAGCATTAGCCACAATATCTATTACCTTCCATGGGACCAAGAGTGTCTATTATCTCCATGATACAGACCAGAAAACTGAGTCTCAGAGAATTCAAGTGTTCAGGGGTGAGACTGAAATTTCCATTTATGTTGTCTGACCCCACGCTCACTCCTTGGGGACTTTCACTGCCTCCCCTTTTGTCCCCCATATTCCCAACCCTTACCCTATCACTCACCCCAAGTCTTACTCTTACCCTTAGTATAGCATAATGGTTAAGAATTTGGACACTGAAGCCAAACTGTGTGGGTTCAGATCTCAGCTCCACCATTTATTAATTGTGTGATCTTAGACAAGTCACTTAACCTCTCTAAGCCTCAATGGGCCCATCTATTAAATGGGGATAATAATAGGATCTACCTCAGTGGGTTGTTGTGAAGATTAAATGGAGTGGTATAAGTAAAATGCTTGGAACAGAGCCTTACACACAGTGAACATTACATAAAATTTTTTGTTACAGATACTCTTGACTTGCACCCATCCCTGTGTCCCCTCCTCTCCTTCTTCTGCAGGACCCTTCCTGGAAGGACATAGTTCTGGGATTTCGGAAGCTGACCCCCAGGGAGCTGGACATGTTCCCCGATTACAGGTAAGGTTACTGTCATGGGCAAAGGGAATGAGGCCCCACAATTCAGACAGACCCGTCCAGAAGGCAGCAGAAGATGGAGTCACCAAAGTTCCTGTCCCATCCTACGCCTAGACCCCTCAGAACTTGGTCTCCTGGTGCTCTGTTCAGCTCCTTCAGAGAAGAAACCCACCCAAACTGGGCCTTGGGCTAAGGAAGTGGGGGTTATGGAACCACAGATCTCAAGGCCAGAAGCTCCGTACCCTTTTAAAGAGGCTATGTGACAGCCAAGTGACCAAAATGGGATTCCAATGCAGTCTGTGTGACGCCAAACCCCTCTGTTCTTTTCCCTAAAGCCCAGTGTCTTTCCGGTCCTCTCCTCACCCACCCAATGCTTGAATCCCCTCTCCAAAGGCACATCCAGTCTCCACTTGCACATCCCCATGTCAGGGATGGCTTTGTCTGACAGAACAAATCTCCTTGCATTGAGCTAAAAACCACTTCCACTTGAACTTCTCCCAATAATGGTCCTGTCTCGACCCTTGGGCCTACACCAACACCACCTCCCTCCCACCGCCCCTCCAAAAACACACAACAACCACCCAACACTGCTCTCATCTCCATTGGATAGCCTTCTGATTCTGATCCTTTATTCCCACCTTTGCCTGCTGTGACTCTAGCTATGGCTGGTTCAACACAAGCCTGACTCTGGAGGGGAGGAGGTATCTGCAGTGGCTGACTGAAAGGTGAGATGTTCAACTTTAGCTTCAGGAAAGCACCTCCCAGGGACCAGGGTTGTAGTAGATGGTTGTTCATGGTATTCGTCCTTGTATCGACCAACCCCAAACATTAACCTTTAGGTGTGGTGGGAGTTAACCGCTGTGCAGGGGTTCCATCTGGCTGGGCAACTCTTTACATGTGATGTTTATTATCGACCTCACTAAAATCCATAACATTTGTGTAGTAGCTTTAAATGGATTCTCTTAAGTTTTCCAGGTCTATTTACATCGTCTACAAAACATACGTTGCCTTTTATTTTTATATCTCATCTTTTCTTTTCTTGTCTAACTGCTATGGCCAGTACCTCCAGAACAATGTAAATAATACAGGTGATAGTAGATGTCCCTGTCTTGTTCTTGATGTTGATAGGAATCTTGAAGTGTTCCACATTAGCAAACATTAGCTTGAGAGATACATTTGTATTTGTATCCACATGCCTTCACATTAAGAAAGATTCCATATATTTCCTACATATTACTACTTCATTATGATTTTTAAAAATATAGAATAGATGGTGGCTTTTATCAAGTGACCTGAGAAGTTTTTTAAAAACGTAGCTTTCAGGACCCTGCTTCATATCTACTGAATCAAAACCTCTGGGATGGGGCTCAGAAATTTGTATTTTAGGAAATTCCCTGGGTGATTCTAATGATCAGCCAAGTTTACGAACTATTGCGCTAAAACCCGGTTATTTCTTCTAACCTTGGGACACTTAACGACTCTGTCTAGGCTCTTCCTGGAACAAATGTTCCAAGTTTTTCTACCTTGAGGAAACTATGTAGATAAAATAGTCCTGAGGTTATGCTTCAGCCTTTATATAGTTTATTTTTTTTGTTCTTTTGATGTTTCTATTATATTTCTAATAGTGACAAATATTTTTCAGCTGAGAGATTTAGAGGGAGGGGTGAGTGTCCCTAGCCCCCCTCCCTCCGCATGCTCTGCTTCTGACAAAGGGGTGGCATTGGTCCAACCTTGTCCCCCCTCCCCCCTGCATTGAGTTTGAGCCCCAGTCCCGTCACTGACTCACAGTATGACCTTCAGCAAGGCCCTTCTCCTATCTCCATCTGCCCGATGAGGAGCTTGGACCGTCTCAGGTTTCCCAAGGGACATTTCATGGCCCCCTGGGGCACCAACCGGTTTGGCTGTACAGCCGTTTTCTCAAGGAGCACCCCACAGGACAGAGGATCTTTGGGACGTGTCCCCATGCCGTCCTTGTGGAGAGGTGGGAGAGAGGGTTGAGTAATGAGCTTTTCCATGTGTCTGATCATCCCAGGTTAACCGAGCGGGGAGTGAGGTTCTTCCAGCAGAAGGTGGAGTCTTTCGAGGAGGTGAGCTGCAGGGCTGGCAGGGCTGGGTTGGGGGGGGAGGAGAAGGGGGCGAGCCTTTGCTTCCTGTTGCTGAGTTGAGGGGCCTCCTCCTCAGTCTTCCAGGATCCCTTTTGAGGCCCATCCCAGACTCCAACCGTCTGTCAATCCCAGAAGGACTCGGGCATTTTGCCTTGATATTGGTGGCAGAAGTGAAGGGACAGGGGGACAATGGCGGCCAGGAGGGCTGATCTATATTAAAGCCCAGTATCAGCTGCTCCCCACCCCCAAGTTCCGGACACTTGGATTGCCTCCTACCGGCATCTGGGTTTTTGCTTCTGCAAAGTCACGGGCCCCAGCTGACTCACCGCCGGAGGAACACCACCACCAGTCATCATGACAGGAGCAGCTACCATCAGGCGCTGGCCTTGCCCCAGGAGCTTTGTTCTAGGACTTCACTCAATCCCGGCAGCTAGGGTAGTGCTTGGCTCATGGAAGGCGCTCAGTCCCCGCAGCTACTAGCATTCTATAGTAAGCATCGCTCTGCGCCCAGCCCTGATGGGCCCTTGGGAAATATAGCTGACTCAGACGCAGCCCTCATTCCCAAAGAGATGACAGTCCAGTGTAGCAAACACTAGCTCATGAACAGTAACAGTGCCCTGCGATGTGCATGCCCCAGGACTGACCTCTGAGGGGCCTCACGGGGGCGGGGCTGGGAGTCTGGGTGCCCATCAGGCTACATCCTGGACCTACCGAGTGTCCCACCCGTGCCCGGCACTAGGGGTTCCAACGTGCCTTCTGCAGATGTCTCGGCAGAGGAGAACGCAAGAGAATGAAAGGAAAGGGAGTCAGAAAGAGCACGAGAACGAGCTCCGCTTGCTTTCTGACTTCTGGAAGGTTCCAGAAAGGTCCCCCCTTTTCCACGGTACTCCTTTCTAAGCACGTTTACACCGAGAGCCACACTGGATCCTCACAGTGGCTTGCGAATGTGCATTACCAGCCCCATTTTATTGCCAAGGCAGCTGAGCCTAGAGGAGGTGACGGGACATTTCTGAGGCCACAGGGCAGGTCAAGGGCAGAGCAGACATTAGGAGCAGGCCCAGGAATTCCTCCTTGAGCCTCCGCTCTGCTGTGCCACAGGGAGCTGAGAGCTTTGAGGTGAAAGGAGGGTAGGAGAGGGGGCAGGGGTACCAGGATCCTTACCCCCTTCCACCCCACCTGCCCTGTTGGTTGCTGCCAGGTGGCAAGAGGAGGCGCTGATGTGATTATCAACTGCACCGGCGTGTGGGCCGGGGCGCTGCAGCCGGACCCGCTGCTGCAGCCAGGCCGGGGGCAGATCATTAAGGTGAGTGTGGAGGTGAGGGATGAGACCTCGGCCTTTGTTGTTAGGAAGATGGTAGCTGCCTGCTTATTTCATCTCCAAAGACAGAGGATGGGTCAGGGACATCTGCCAGAGGAATTGCATGTCGAAGAAGCAAGAGAGACCAACGCAACACGCCCCTCCCAAATGTTCTCTTTCGAGATTTCTTCTTAATAGCACAGCATGCGTGTCTATATACTCGTATATGCTTGTGCATATATGGGAGCTGCATATGTGTGCGAGCATGCCTATTATTATAACGAAAAGAGGACTTTGTTGTGTCCATCGCTGAATCCTCACCACAACCCTTTGAGATGGGGTCTATCATATCACCATCGCCGTCTCACAGATGGGGAAACTGAGGCACAGGGGAATTAAGGGACATGCACAAGTTCACGCAGTAGTAAGCGGTGGAACCGGGATCAGAACCCAGGCAGCTTGGAGTAAGAGCCTGGGTATAAGCATCAGTCCACACCACCTCTCACTGTGTACGTGTACATGTGCATGAGGCATGCCTGTTTGTGAATGTACACGTGTGCATTCGTAGGTGTGTAGGTGTGTAGGAATGGCGTGTGTGTGCATGTGTGTGTGTTTGCACATGCATGCTGGGCTCTTCTGTGGGTACGTGGGTGAAAACATGCGATGCTTCAGGGGGCAGGTTGGCTCTCAGTCAGGGTGCTCTTCCTGCAAGTGCGGGCAGCCTGGTGGCAGGGGGTCCTGGGAATTGTCCACTCTTATCAGAGCATGTGCTCTTGGAGGGGAGCAAGGCAGGGGGCCCGCTGATCCATCTCCCCTGAGGAGACTTCTCTGTCCTCTATCAACAGGTGGATGCCCCTTGGATGAAGCACTTCATCATCACCCATGACCTAGACAGAGGCATCTACAAGTCCCCGTACATCATCCCAGGGTAAAAAGCTGGCATCCTAGGCAGAAGAGGGGCCATCTGTATGCCCACCTTCAGCTCCCCAGGCCCCTTGCTTAGTCCCTTCAGCTTTTTTCTTCAAATGTTTTTTTTTAAGTGTGGTTGAGTCATTAAATGCCTGGGAGAGGGCAACAGAGATAGAAACACCAACCACTGAGCCACACACTGCCGGCCAGGCTTGAACATGCTTTCGGATGAGAGTGATGCTAGAGACAAAGGTGATGCTGGAGACAAGGACGTGATGGCAGTGACACTAGACGTGGTGTGAATGGCAACAGCAGGAAGGGTGGTGGGAATGGTGATTGGAGCTGATGGTGATATTAATGACAGAGGTGATGGTGTTAATGAATATGGTGGTGGTATTGATGCGATGACCACCATGTTGATAGTGAAATAGTGGCAGTAAAGATAGTCTTGCTATTGATGAGGAGATCAGTGTTAATGCTGGTGGTGGCTGGGAGTGGGGGGGATAGGCAGTGCTCTTGGAGATGACAGTAGCAATGATAACGGTAACAGAGTGGCAGAGATGACAGTCTCAGAGGCCATGTTAACTCTGTGGCTGTGCTGACGGTCTCAATGGCGATGGCGATGGTGAGCAGGAGATGACAATATCCATGGCTAATGACGGTGGTGGAAATGGTGACGGGATGGTGGTGACGACATCTCAATGGTAACAAGGAAGGAAGTAGTGCAGATGGTGCTGTTGATGGATATGACAATATTTTTTCCAGGTTTATTGAGATATAATTGACACATAACCCTGTGCTCATTTGAGATGCATAATATGATTTGATAGATGTATATATTATGAAATGATTACCACAATAAGGTTAGTTAACACATTCATTACCTCACATAATGACATTGTGTGTGGCGAGAACACTTAAAATCTACTCTCTTGTCTGGCCATGGTGGCTCAGTGGCTTGAGCGTCGTCCCAGAGGTCCCGGATTCGGTTCCCAGTCAGGGCACATACCCAGGTTGCATGCAGGAGGCAGCGATCAATGAGCCTCTGTCATCATTGATGTTTCTATCTCTCTCTACCTCTCCCTTCCTCTCTGAAATCAATAGAAAATATTTTTTTAAAAATCTATTCTCTTAGCAATTTTCAAGTATTCATACAGTACTGTTAACTATAGTTGCCATGCTGTACACATGAAGAGATGACAATAACGGTGATGGTGGAAGTGGTGGTTGATGGTGATGACCATGGCAATGGCCGTAGTGTTGGTGGTATTGTGAGCAGGGATGTTGATGGTAGCAGTGAGTTAGGTAGAGATGGTGGTAAGGGTTAGCGTGGTGATGACCCCCACTCATCTCAAAGGCTTCGTTTCCCTTCATCCTTGACCTTCCTTACTTTTCTGTAGGATCCAGGCAGTGACCCTTGGAGGCATCTTCCAGCTGGGGAACTGGAACGAGGTGAGCAATAGTGAAGACCACAACACCATCTGGGAAGGCTGCTGCAGACTGGAGCCCACGCTGAAGGTAAGGGGGAGAGGTATCCGGTCCCTAGACCAGGCTCCGGGCAGCTTGATCGTGAGGACATGTGAGGAGGGGAAGATTCCACCACGGGATAACTGGGCGAATTAATTCCAGCAAGGGCCTGTGGAATACACCCAAATTTGATAATGTCCGGGGAAGTCCTGCTATGGGCTGATGAAACATCTATGACCATGACTGAGACTGACTCTCTGTTAAGGTGACATCTTCAAAACATATTTGTTGCAGAAATTTCAGTTTTCTCATGTGCAATGACTGTTAGTGGCAATGACAACACTCATGGTGAAGAGGGTGTGATGAGCAGGTGGAGGTAGTGGTTGGTATTGATGGTGATGAACATGCTGAGGATGGTAATAAGGATGGTGATGAGGTGGTGACTGTTGACAATATCATGGTGGTGACTGGTGGTTGATAAAGATGGAGAAGCTGATAGAAGTGGTGGTAAGGAGTGATAGTAACGATGTTGGTGGCTGACAAAGGTGGTGATGATGGCAGTGGGGATGAATAAAACAGACAGTGATGGTGTCCAAGGTGGTGGTAATGATACCGAGGTCCCAAAAGTGAACTCTCTATCCCCTAAAAATGGCAGCAGAAAAAAAATAATCCGGAGATGAATTACTAACACTTTTCTTTCCAGGATGCCAAAATTGTTGCTGAATTGACTGGCTTCCGGCCAGTACGCCCCCAGATTCGGCTAGAGAGAGAACAGCTTTGCTTCGGGTCTTCAGACACAGAGGTACGCTTTCCTGGCATGGAAAGCAATGCCCTCCTCACTCCTAAGAGGGCCCTTGGCAGTGCTGGCTCATGTCCCCTCCTCTATAAACGAGGCGCCATGATGGTGAAGGACCCACTCCAGGTTACATAGAGGGCAGTGCCTTGGTTTTCTGGGACCTGTGGTCAAGCAGAAGGAAATGGGCACCTTATTGAACATCTGCTTTGTGCCCATGACACCAATGACCTTAGGGAATCTCCCCTCCAGCTCTTTGGGGTGGGGACTGTCCTCCCTGAGTTTCAGACGAGCAAACAGGGGCTCCAAGAGGTGGCGTCGCTCCCTAAATCAGACCCCTGGTGAGGGACAAGCTTGGGATGCCATCTGAATGTGACTCCAGCCCCCTTTCCCACGTGTCCATTTGCGGCTGCTCTGTTGTCTCTCTGGGGTCCCCTCTCATGTCCTCTCTCCCAGGGCAGGAACTGGGCTTATTGAAATGACGGGAGGTGCTGTCCTGGGCTGAAGGCACTGGCCTGAGTGGGTGGGGGTTGGGTTCCCATCAGGAAAGCAATCTTATCGAGGTCACCGTCCTTCCTTATCCCGGGAATGTGGGTACAATCGGGAGAGTCACGCATGGAGTTTTTAAGTCCCGGCTAACGGTTTGAGCTTTGAAAAGGGCCACAAGGTCTTGGCTCTGTCTCCAGGATGAATAAGCACGTTACCCAGACCCCGCTCCTAGGGTGCGCCTGGTTTTCTGTCCTCCCGACGTGGGTAGAAGAGTCGTCTATTCACACAGGAGGTTCAGCAATCCGGAGCAGGGTGGGAACGAGGAAGGTGATTTAGAGAACGTCAAACCATTTTGTGTGTGTGTGTGTGTGTGTGTGTGTGTGTGTGTGTGTAAACCTCTGACTTCAAGTTTTAGGTGATTCTGCATTTCCTGTGCTGAGTGTATAAAGCAGGTTCATCTCCTAAGTAGAAGAGGAGTCTAGGGTGTCAACCTCCAGTTCCCCAAACAACCCCTTCCTGCTGCTCCCGGAGACCCCACCCTCCCGCCAGGGTGCCCAGAAGAGTTTCCGTGTCCTCTGGCTTTGTCCAGGACTCTTCAGAAAGTTCCTGAATCTCTCAGGGCAGACCAGGCCATCTCCTCTCTTCCTCTCCCAGGTCATCCACAACTATGGCCATGGAGGCTACGGGCTCACCATCCACTGGGGCTGTGCCCTGGAGGCGGCCAAGCTCTTTGGCGAGGTCTTGGAAGAAAGGAAGTTGCTCAGGATGCCACCATCTCACCTCTGATGATGCCAATGACCACCGTCCCCCCCACAAGGACTTCCCGCTTTCCTCGGCCAACTAACTAATCAATGTGCTTCTCTCTAAGTCAGCGGTTCTCAACCTGTGGGTCGTGACCCCTTTGGCAGTCGAACGACCCTTTCACAGGGGTTGCCTAAGACCATCCTGCATATCAGATATTTATATTATGATTTATAATAGTAGCAACATTACAGTTATGAAGTAGCAACGAAAATAATTTTATGTTTGTGGGTCACAACATGAGGAACTGTATTTAAAGGGCCAGAAGGTTGAGAACCACTGTGTAAGTCATCACTTACCCCTGCCCCCCACCCCTGGCTCCTGTGGACAAGAAGCGTGAGGTGAGAGGGAATCACAGGGTCAATTCCTGGAGGTGAGTCCAGCCCCATCTGGGCGTGCTTTGACCTCTCTCTCTGGGCCTGACATTACTAAAGCTTACTCCACGAGTCCTCAGAAGAAAGGAAATCTCTGAAAATCAAAGAGGCGAGCAAGGAAATGAGGTAGTTGAGGTTCAGTAACTTGAGGACAAGTGGCATTAACGTATTAAAGGTTCTGAAAAGTCCTGCAGCGAAGACACCTATCTGATGTTGTCTTCCTAAACCTAGCTGGCTATGGAAACCTTTTGCCCCGCCCTAATGCCACAGAATGAACCGGAGGGAAGGCTGTAACAGATTTCACAGGAAGTTATATGTCGAACTGGAATACAGAGGAAGCAGAAGAGATGAGGCATGAAACTACCAACATATGATGCCTGTTTCACATCCAGGATCCCAAATGGCATCAGCGGCCCCCTGCGTGGCCCCAGGGACACCATGTAATCCTTGAGAAGGGGCCACGGGAAGGATCATCCCCCAAGGAACTCCTTCACAGAGAATAAACTCACCAAGCTCACTCCTTGTTTGCTCAGCATCTCTCTACCTTGTGGCTGGTACCCCCTGAGATGGCAAACAGGCTTCCAGAAGTTTCTGAAAGCCTTACATGAGCCTAGAAGCCACCTTGGCATCTTCATCCCTAATTATCTGCCTCAGTCTCTTAAGTTGAATTTTCATCTGTCTGGTTTTGTTGTTTGTTTTTTTTAAAAAGACCGGAGCCTAGAAGTCTTCATGCATCTGGGATCAGTGGCACCCTGTGTGCTGAGAAGAGGTCTCTACTGGCCCACACCACGCTATGTCCATGCCATTACTATTTCTTCCTGAATTATTTCACCAGATGGTTTTTTTTGCATTTCTGGGTCTTTTGCGTTTCCATATAAATTTTACAACCAACTTGCCAATTTCTGCATGAAACGCCAGCTGGGGTTTTGATAGGGATTGTGTGGAATTTATAGATCAATTTGGGGGAGTATTGATTGACATCTTAACAATTTTAAGTCTGCTGAGCCGTGAGCCTGGTATGCCTCTCCATTTATTTAGACCTTCCACTTCTTCCAGCGATGCTTGGTACTTTGTAAAAACCTTGCACTCCTTTTGTTCAGTGTATTCCCATGAGTTTTGTTTTTTTTTGATGCTATTGTGAGTGGAATTGTTCTCTTACTGATGACTCTAGAAAGCGCTCTGTTCTCTGGCATGGTGGGAGTAGAGGCATTTGAAGTAGGTCCTCATCAAATATTCTTGACGAACCGGGAAGGATTATAGGTGAGGTACATTCAAATGTCAAAGAATCAGAATACAGTAAAGCACCACCCGTGGCTCACATCTGGCTGAAACCACTGAGTTTCCGAGGAGCAGAAGGGGCCTCGGAACCTTCTAGAGCTT